ACAAACTGTCTCTAGAAACAAATTTAAAAAGCAAATTGAAGCCTGTTTACACTTTTTTCATTTGATTTATTTATTTATTTATTTATTGTGGAAGTGTAGGAGTTAAATGATTTGAAAAACTTTACATTCAAACTTCATGTTTTTTTTTCATAAAGCATCGAAAATTCCCTTAAAACATCATTTTAAAGGCACACTTGGTAGTTTTGCTTGCTTTTAGCAATGCTAGCACTGGAAGCACACTCCAGATTCTGATAGGAGGAAAAATTTGACCTTGTGGATAAAGTGTAGCATGTTGGCGAGCCCAAACGCAAATTCCCAGCACGTTACACGCAGCTAGCCGACATGACGGGCTGGCTGGTAGCTCAGCTCAGCTTCAGCCGGGGTCCGTGCGGCACACTGAGGATTCGATGGTGTGTGAAGATACCAGCACCTTGGATAGAGACAAGAAAGCGTCAATGACGATTGTTAGGTCTGCCTCCAATTTGAGTCCTTATTTGTCTCTGAGCCCTCGTGATTCAGAAAAGTCCCGATGTTTCCTCTTGTTTGACTCCTATTGTGGTTGGATGTTTTTTATTTATTTATTTTTTTTAGTTTCTTTAGATGAATGTTTTCTTTGTTTCTTCTGAGGCTCCACCATGATAAACACGTTACAATAAATGCTAACCAGGTATAGCTCGTCTGTCCTGAGGTACTGCTTTATGCAGTATATGTGACTTCAGGGGAGTGGTCCTGATACTCTCAAGTTGCAAGTGTGGTATTCTGGCCTCAGGGGCTGAGTGACTTTTCATTAACCTTGTAAAGGGTCATTTTAGCACATAATGGGTGAAGAAAATGATTTAAACACTTGAAAAAGCAGCAGTTTCCCTTTAATTCAGGATTATGGAAAAATTGAACTGAATATTAATGCCTCCGTTATTAAAAATAACCACATGTAATGATCCTACTGCAAAGCACAGTCATGTATAAGGGATAGCTACATAAACATCTAGTTAAGAAGGCATTTTTTTGCATTGGACATCAGTCAATAAAAAAAATTGTCTCAAAAACATTTATTATTCTAATTTTTACCTTAATTATTACAAAAGTGGATGAGAGCCTTCTGTATCACAAAGTATTTGTTTCGCCACTGCGTGAAAGATGCTTGACTTGGTGCAACGCTCGTCCAGAGTGGGTCCTGGAGAATCCGCTTTCCTTCCCACCTGCTTCCCCAAACTGTTGCCCTTGTCCGCTGGTATCAGTTTAAAAATCCTCCACATGGATTTGGATGTTCAACTTAAAACATAAATAAGCTCTGTCACCCCTACCCCGCCTCCTAAAGGTTCTTTTTTTACCCTCCTTATTCCCGCGACCAAACCCTCCCTGCAAATCAGCCCGGTCCCCCTCAGACCTCCCCACACAAAGCCCCCAAAGCAGCCCAGAAATCATAGCACACCATTCAATCATTGTTTTTTCCCCTCTCTCACCCCTTTTTTATGGTCCCACTAAAGGTTTTAACCGGGCAGAGAAGGAGGGCTGTCACTGAGGAAACCTTAGCCCATTGATGAAGTGACAGGAGCTGCCAGAATATGATCCTAATCCTGTTTCCAGCATTCTTTTAGCCTGCTGGCATCGCAATTCCTCCACACATTCTCTGAGCTGTCAACTAGGAAAATCCCTCTAATAGTGCATTGCCCAGATACACATCAAAGAGCTCTTGGAAACCTTCAGCAGCTTAGCTGCCATAGACACACACTCACACACACACACACCGTTCCCATTAACTCACAGCCATGTGAGCATTACGAACACACAAACGTTCAAACTGACCACAAATTTAAAATATATATAACCAAAGTGCCTTCCCCAAAATATTACTTTTTCTAATCATCCTTCCTTTTTTGTCTTTACCCCTTCTTTCCAAAAGTGGTGTCATGAAGGATGAAGGCGAAAAAAAACAGGTGTCTTGAACTTTGCTGACTTCAGAAACCTTTTCAGTCCTATTTTATCTCATTCTATTCTAACTTAATCCATCGATATCCCAACCAAAGGTAATCTTCTTATGGCGCGGCATTCTGTTTCGGTGCAGCCAAACCTCGGCTGACAGGGTGGGGGAGGACGAGGGGGAGACCGGGTGGGTGGATGGGGGACTCTTTAGAGCCTGACACTTTGCTTCAGTCATTTCATGTAGGATTAGTTTTTCTGCTGTGGGTGAACAAGTGGCAGCTTCTCTCCCCTCTGCGTGAGTAAATCTCACTGCTGAGGACGGTGGACCCCTGTGTCTAAATTATTTATGGATCATCAAGGTGTCTTCAGTCAAACATACAAACCTGAAAGAAAATGCTTCCCCACAAAGGGTCTCAGATCCGAACTGTTTAATGCCCCCGTGACTGACGGGGGAAGGACGAGCTGGATGCTGAGCTTTCTCGTCAGACCCTTTTTCTGCCGGTTTTCTAGCAAACTTTTAAAGAGTAGAAAACATTTTGTCTGAGTAGAAACATTAAAGCGAAGACACAAGAGAAGATAAGTCATTCTTGATTTATTCTCTTACACTGAACAGATAAATTACTCATATTTTAAACAATTGAGGAATACACGTCTTTATTCTACAGCGATATAATACATACAGGTTCTCTCTCTGCTGGAACCTGCTGAGGAAACATGTCGGCTTTGATCCGTCGTGAACAGGAACGCCTCAGCTGGGCTCGTATTTATTTACCGTTCTCTTCTCTTTTCGGTTCTTTTTCTTGAAGCTACAGTTGGAAAACAAACAAGGTCATCACACGTGAGTTTGCTTGGTGACATTTCGGATGGAGGGGGAGGGATATTTACAATACTCAATGGATTCTTGCAATCCAAGCTGCAGGTTTGCAACTTTCGTGGAAAGAGACTGATTGGCGATTGGACCTTTTGTTTGTGGTGTTGGCCGTCCGGACAGCTGCTGTGTTGCTGTAAAATCCCAAGAGGTGCATGCATAGTTTACACGTGAAAGATGTTTCAGTGTCTCGAATGTTTGCTGGACGGCGCGGCCCTGATGTCATCGTAGCGAGCGCTGACTGGTGCTGTTGACCTGGTGGCGTTCAAACAAGCAGTTGCAGTCCAGACTGGAGGATTTCATTGGTTTGTTCCATCCAACCAGCGACTCTTTTTGTTTTTATCAGTGAGGTACAAGGCCATGGTGTTAATGATGATGATGATGAGGCAAAAAGGGATGCAGGTGTTGATGATCCATGTTGAGGTAGGTCCTCCAAAGTCCATCCTCAAGCTCAGATTGTGTTTCAAATGAAAATGTTTACAAATTGTTATCATCTGGTTTTAAAGCTGAGTTGGTCCAAGCGTCATTTGAATCATATGAGCCAAATGTGGGCAGGGATCAAACACGAAAGCAATTTGAGAAGGCTAAAGTCTCAAGATTAAATTGATTTAAAAAACTGACTACGTTCGTGGAGATGTGTTGAAATTCTGTGTGGATTCATAGAGGTCGTAAGGACGCTTGAGAGGAAGTCACTGATGGTCAAACATGGATTCTGTGCAGCCTGGACCTTCAGTTGGGAAGTGTGTCCAATCCCAGCGAGGCTGCGTGCTGTTTGGCCCTCAGACGGAGGTTCTCGATGCTGGTGGTCTTGCTGTTGAGGCTTCCCGGGAGGCCGCCTGGAGCCGGCTGCAGTAGCGGGCTGCTCCACACCTGCTGCGCCTGTGACAGGGTCTGGTAGTAGGACTGACAGGGCAGCGAGCCCAGAGGGGAGGGCATGTTGACGTTCATGCCCAGGTAGGGCAGGGAAGATGGCGTGCTCATGTCAAAAGAGGGGTAGTGCACCAGGTTGTTGGTCGCTGCCATGTGCTGCCGAAACTGCTCCTGCAGCCGAAAAAGGCTGAGAGGAGACGAGGCATAGGAGTTGCTCTGAGCCAAGCCGCTGGTTACGCTGCTGGAGGACGGCAGCGGGGGAGAGCTTAACGGAGAGTCTGACGGACAAAAAGAGAAAGACAAGCTTCAGTATTTGCCACTCATAAATCAATCTCACTTGTTATTTGAATTTATGTATCTGATCTTTTTACCTGAGGAGGGGCTGAGTCGTTTGCAGGTTGGAGAGCTGCCACCTCCATGTGTCGCCAACTCCCCCGGTGCCTCCTCCCTGAGTTTCACCCTTGACTCTACACTCATTTCATCGTCCTCCCTGTCAGCGTTATCTTCCGCCACCGACTCGCTGTCCGACGGCTCTGGTGAGGTGACGTTTACTTCCACGCTCATCTCAGCGGGCTGTGGTCGTGGAGTAGCCAGTCGCTCCGGCTCAGACGGACAGGAGGAAGAGGAGGAGGGAGGAGGAGGAGTGCGGACCTCGGGAACCAGCGTAGTGGCGCTGGTTGTGAGGTCCGTTTTGGAGTCCTCTGAAGATCCTTCGGTAGCTCCGGATGCTTCTTTCTGCTTCTGGAGCTGCTCCTTCTGCAGGCTGCGCTGCTTCTTACGGAACTTGGCTCGACGGTTCTTGAACCAGACCTGAGAGATGGACGGCGATATTTCAGCACCACCACATCAGCAACTGTCTCTCACTGGAGATGAGCACCTCAGGATGCAACTGCAAAGTTTCTTTACCTGTACTCGAGCTTCAGGCAGGTTGGTGCACATGGCCAGGCGTTCTCGCATCACCACGTCAGGGTAGTGGGTCTTCTGGAAGGTTTTCTCCAGAGCCTCCAGCTGCTGAGCTGTGAAGGCTGTCCGACTGCGCCGCTGCTTTCGGTGCTGGGAACCATACCGGGCCTCGAGGATAATGTCTTGAAATGTACAACCGTTGAGAAAGAAGAAACATGACCAGTTTAATTCAAGGGACAGGTCAAAGGTCAAAGATCTCTGGCACTGTTGAAACAAGCAGCTGCTGGGTTACAGATAGTGAGGGACATTTAAAGAAGGAACGAGCAACTTACCAGCCAGTCTTTCTGCAAGTGTTAGCGCGTGCACAGAAGGCCTGTAGTCAGGCGCGTGCTGGGCCTGCTGCGCCGCCTGCTGGTGGAGGTTGTACATGGCGCTCAGTGAGTTCATGGCATGGAGAGAGTAGCCGTTCACCCCGTAGTGCTGCATGACAGACGCTGCTGCTCAGAGGACACGCGCTGCTCGGTCTGGACTTTTTTAATCAATAAAGAATGAAATAAATTAAAAACGTGAACTTTTTAATCCATGTGATATTTTTTTTATTTTTATTATTGAATAGAAGTTTTTACATCCGAAGCAAATTTGAATGGAAACACAGTTAAAGCTGAACATTTGACTAAACAATTATTTGATCATTTAAAAGAAAAAGCCTAGGTAATCAGAAAATGATTATCAAATGAAAAATTAAATAAAAGATTATTGGACACAGAGTTTTTAGCATTTAATCAAAAACACAATAGTCACATAAAATTACTAATTTAACAAAAAGTTTGGGGCAAAACTCAGATTTTTTTGCATAAGAAATAATTTCATGAGGTTCCTTAATTACTTTTAGAACAGATTTTTTAATCACCCTAAAATGTTTCAGTTATTAAAACACATCTTTAAAAAGGGTAAATTTTTATTATTATTATTATTATTATTGTTGTTATTATTTATAATAATAATAATAATAATAATAATAATAATAATAATAATAATAATAATAATAATAATAATAATAATGGGCCTTGCTTGCACATATATTTTGTGCGCATCATATTTTGGTTTCCTCACTCTGAATCAAATGGGCTTTTGTGAAACATTTGTTCTGACTTCCGCAGGCTGATCTCTGACACAAGCTCCAAGGAAACATATTTTCTTCGCTCCCGACCAGAACCGGACTGCGTTTATCTCAATCTGCGGCGGGTCCCAGGTCAGCTCTCAGTCGCCCGGAGGCTGACGGAGAAGCGTGACAGGCCGTCAGTGAAACGCGCACGCGGGATCCCCAGTTGGGCTCGTTCCCTTTAATGTGCCTGCAAATAGCTTCCAACTATAAAAGGCTATTAATTTATCATCAGGCCTGACACGTGAAAGGTGGGCCACCGCGCGCGCGTGTTACAGAGAGGAATAACGTGTGACGTTGTAACACTCATTTGCGCTTTATTTAGTTTGAGGCTTTTTCGCATTAAAAAAAGATACAACATCTGGCTGGAATAATCTTGTTTTTTCTTTCATTTGAGGGTTTAAACGTTTAACATAAAGCTTTTCTTCCAGGACAATGCCCCGCAGCCTCGGGCTGCGGTTTAAGCCTAATTATTCTCATTGCCGTGGATTTATGAGTTCTGCAGCGTTTACTGTGACTGCCCCGGGGCCGAGGCTCCGTTATTAAAGGGATCAAAAGGGTCGGGAAATTAATAGGGATCAGCTATGGTAACAAAAACTAGAAACCCTCCGTTTCAAAACGATCATTAAATGTATTAAAACAGAGATAATTAAATACATTTTGGTTGCTATTTTGTAAAATTTTATAAAAATCGTTTCTGATTTGAGAAGGAAATGCTCTAACTGTAAAGTTTATCGTCTCAAATGGTCTGCACTTGCAATAAAAGAAAGGAAACACTTAAATTTATAAAACTTACCCCTTTTCTTCTGTAAATTTCTCCAAAAGAAATCAAAATATTTGCAACTCAGATTGTTTCTTCTTCAAAGTCCATAGATGCTCGTTCGTTTTTTCTTTATTGTAATGTAGAGAATATTCCGCCGTGTCCGCTCCGTGTTCCGGTTCTTGTCACTGTGGGTGTGTGAGGAGCTGCCATCTATCGCTCTTTAAATCGCTCCGGGTGGGGGGGTCACCAGGAACGCGCAGACGCTCAGGGCCAATCGCGTCCTGCCTTCCCCCCTCCCCTCCCGCGATGGTTCTCCTCACTGTTTAGATCATTTCTACATGAAAAATGTTTATTCATTCTAAAAAGAAAATTTACACTCGAGTTATGCAAAAATAAACATAAAGTTGAAATCATAATTTTAAAACGCCTTGCTTTTCTTACTTGAAGCCATTTGAGATATTACAAATAATTTTCTGAATGAAAATGTTTAAAATCTCTCAGCTAAAGCAAAAGCCTAAACTACTTTATTCTAACAGCTAGAATTAGATTGCTTATTGTGTTTTTATTGATTAGTGCATTACAATATTTCTGATCTAATTCAATAAGCTACAAAATCAACGCGTTGTATTTATTTACAGAATTTTACTGGTTTTAAACTCTAATGACCCCCCCCCCCCCTCACACAGGTGTTAATTAAATAATATGCAAATATCCGGCTGAGCGCTGGCCTTACAGTGAAAGTTGCGCAGCGGCTCTCGGGTTAATTCCGAGCTTTCATTTGATTTTCTTTTTTTCTTTTTGCTTCTGCAGCCGGGTCTATATTTTTGTCGTGGGAACGAAGTTGAGATGGAGAGATGCGGGCTGGGCCGCTCTGCTCTGCCAGCAGCTCCCCGGCCCTGAGGGATTTAGGTTAGGATTGGGTAGACAAGACGCCATTTCACCCTCCCAAAAAAAAAAAAAAAAGTCTTAAAATGACTGCTGGTAAGAGGATTAAAACAATAATGCCCCTCTCTTCTTCTTCTCCGAGGTTTTTAGAAAAGATTTCTTCTTGCGAGGAAAAACCGTTTAGGCTGGAATTAAGGGCAGTGAAAGTAGCCTTTAATGTAAAAGCTTGAATATTTTGTTGAATATTCCAGGCAAAAGGAGAAGGTGGTGGTGGTGGTGGTGAGGGGTTTTACTCCCAAAATTTCGACTCCTGGAAATCAAAATGAAAAGATCAGTTTTCTTCAACATCTCTTGTTAAAAACAAATTTTATCTAAAAGGTGCAACAAGTGGCAACAACCCTAAATCCTGTTTTCATTCAAAACATCGAAATGTGTAAAATAACAATCATTCCCCTTTTTCTTTTCCAAAACTGTTCTCTTTTTTGTTGCTTGTATTTAAGCCTAAAGAAGGAAAAAATCGGATTAACTTGTGAACTGATGGAAATAAGAATTTAAACTGGAGGTAAATCTGGCCAGTGTCTCTTTGTGAGGAGCGTTTCTAAAGCAATTAAAGCGAGAAGGAATTTCTCTCAGCTGCATGCTCTCCCTTAAATCAGTTTTTTTTTTGCAACATAATATGGTCCAGCATGGCTGTAAGCTTTAATGCAGGAGTCAAGAGGCCCTTTAGGGTGAAATGATGGGAAGCAGGGTTGAAGAAGGCAGTTTTGTTTTAATGCAAAATTAAGCAAGTTATGCATATTGTTCCCTTACAAAAATGGAGGGGTGAAATAAAGAGAATTTGATGAAAAAAAAACTGAATGCACAGCTGTGATGATGCATGTTTTTTTTTTTTTAGTCTGATGTTGACTCCATGATGCTGCAGGGTTCCTTTAGATCAGGGGTGCCCAATCCTGGTTTTCCATCCAGCATGTTTTAGTTTTAACCCTGTTTCAACACACCTGATTTCAGCCAGCAGGTGATTAATGGGCTTTTGCAGAACTTGATGAGCTGCTGCACAGGTGATTCAACCACTGAATCAAGCGTGTTGGAGCAAAGAAACCACTAAAACAGGCTGGATACCGGCCCTCCAACACCACAGGGCACCCCTGTTTTAGACCTTTTATATGTGTTTGCTTTGGTTCCTGCTGCTGTTCTCTTTAAGTCATTTGACCAATGCTTTTATTTTGGAAAGCCCCAGAAATGTACAAAAACATTACAGAGTATTTCTTTCACCCATATAGCAACACCAAATAATAGAAGAAATAACTAAGTTGAAAACTATAAATTATCAACAACTTTGATGATCTTTCCTGAAATCATTCGTTGTTGCAAAAATGTTTGAAAAATGATGTTAAAATTTTCTTGTTTATTTTAGAAAAATCCTCCCAAAATAACTGTTGCAGCATAACTCAATTTAAAAATCTAGATTTAAGTTTTTATGTCATAAACCTGGCCATTCTTTTTTTCTTTTTTTTTTTTTACTTTCCTCATCACACTCGCAGGATCCCAGCGCTGCTCGCTCCAGAATAACTCTCCTGACTCCAGATTCCGTTCAGATTTTCATGGATTTCACCAGCATGCTCATTGTTCTCTGCACTCTGGGCCGCATCAGAGTTTCATCTTGTTAAAGCCTCTCCTCAGATCCGAGCTAATGTTCTCAATCATCCTCCCTGCCTGAAAACTTCCATCCCTGCATCGGGACTTTGGCAGCAAGAGTTGATGTTTGTGCGAGGAAATCTGCAGCGATTTATAAATCATCTGCAGCATTTAATCAGATTTATAATGCGGATAATGTTTGTAATTTTATTCCTGAAAAAGCTGTGTGTAATTTTAAAGCGCCAGTCTTGCATCATGTGAAGTTGAGGCCTTCTGAGCTCATTAACTTTTATCATTACGTTTTCTTGAACTTCTTGAATGCGCTAGGATTTCAAACCAGCTGCTGTGGCGGCACATGTTCTTATTCAAGGTTAGCTTGTGCTCATTTGGGTGAAATTAATCATTTTGATGCATGGCTCAGAGCTGACTGCTTCAGTGGGACCGGTGTGACTGGAGTAACAAAGCAACTTGCCATTAGCGGTCTTCTGGCTGTGTATTAGTGGGACATTCACCTTTAAGGCTGTCCTGGTGTGTGTTGGATACCTGATTTCAGATAGAAAAATCTCCAGATTCACATTGTTTTTTACAATTCATTAATCTAAGCCGTGTGTCATTCAGCTGTGTGATTTTATATTTATGCTTTAAGTGTAATAATTAATAACATGAACATAAAAACTGTATTAAAGGAGACATATCCACCATTTGGGCCTCTATAAACACCCCAAATGTAAAAAACCCATCCATTTTCTTACACGTACAAAATGTCTATAATCTAATCATAGTTCAGATTAGAATTTAACTGTGTTCTTATGCCCTGGAAAAATGAATCAGATTATGACAAGTGTTCATATCCATTACACGTTTGACTGGCATAAATGGTTTTGACATGTGCAGAACTATCTGACATACTGGAAATGGTCGAAGGAGTATAGCAGGCTTCCGTTGTAATCAAAGACGGCTGCGTGCGTGTAAAATTGAGCCGTACAATGTTCTTCAGAACGTGTTTTTAGTTTTTCTGGTCATGATTTTACATCAACAAGCCAAATCATTTAAACGTTTGCATATCATGGCGGAGGGGAACAACAGGAGGATAACAGCCATAGCTTCTGTAAACACCAAAGTAAGATGCATCTTCATGTGATGTAACAGACGGGCACAGTGATGGCCCACATTCAGAAAATGTGTTAACATGCACATACGGCATAGTCCACCCATCTAAATGGGAAGAAAATGTAATTATTAAAGTGACAGTGTGTATTTTTCCTGGCGATAGGGGGCAGTAGATACCTAAATCATTGCAAGCAAGTAGTATTTTTGTGTTGGAGCAAGACCTTACCAACAGATGCCCATTAAGCCTGGTTTATGCTTCTCTGTCAGCTCCGCAAGGGACAGACACGCACGGATTGATGGAAGCGTTTTGCTTTCATACTTCTCCGTCTCCTGGAGAGTGTTGCAAAGCAATTCCCCGGCAGGACAACAGAGGGCGTAGCGCTGCAGTGTCTCCAGGAACGGTGCACCAAAAAAAAAGAAAAAAAAAGTATCGGTCCAAGATCGTGTGTTTGTATTGTGTTTTTTGTGTATATAAGAGACTTTTAACACGGATATATTTGTCTCTCATTCTCCTCCATCTTTTCATGCGCTCCCCACCTCTAAACCCACGTTTCCTGTCATTTCCCTCCACAAATAAAAAGCTTGCTGCGCATCTTTTCACTCCTCCAGTCACTGGAGAATTAAACGTAAATATTTTTAGAGTTTTTTCGCGAGGTATTCTTCAAGCTTCTCCTTGTCTGCCGCTAGTTATCCTCGGCTCTTTGCAATGGCGGCACTGTAAACAACAGGCGTCCTGACCAATCACAAGCTTGTGTAATCCGTCTCGTTCGACGGATGTTTAAAAAAGTGGGCTCGACTCCGTACGTACTTGCGTGCCTGCCGGAGCCCTACGCAATGTCTCCACATGTCTCCGCACTGACGCAGACGGAGAAGCATAAATCAGGCTTTAGGGTCAAAAGCCCTGGAGACTGCAAACTTCAGCAAAATGGCAAGCACATCAGACTTCCTTTCACCACTTACAACTAGCAAAGACGTAAATGTGTAAAACAGCGTTTATGAATGGTGAAAGTTTTGTAACCATTTTGTTACAAGTCAGTAAATGCATTTTGATCTCATGGGCTCCCGTAGAAGGAAACATGGCATCTAATATGATGTCGCCCAAAGACTTAGACCCGCTCCCACGTATTTTAGACCAGATTTTTTTGGGGGTTGGAAGTGATGAAGCCGCCAATATTTTTCAACAACTGGGCATCACTGAATTCATTTTTAACAAAATTTAGATGAATATTTCCAGAGATTAACGATAACTACACATTGTTTCTTTATTGAGGGTGATAGGGTCGACATATTCTAGATGATGTGGAGCATCTTTATTCCAATCACGCATTTAATTTGATCACTTGTGTCCATGTAACGTGACTAGTGTTTGGTTTTTGGAACTATGTGCCTAAAATAAGCCATTTGGAAAAGTCCCTGTTTGTGACGTCACAAACGGGGGAAGAGAACTACCTCTCACAAGCCTCTTCCAGACATCAGAGTTTCTCAGCTTATAGCAGCCTCAGCAGAGGATGGGTGGGCGTGGCCAGTTTCAGTTTGTTTTCCTAAAGTGCCAGAGCCCTGAAACAGCTCACTCTGGAAGGTAATGA